CATCATTGCATGGTTGTAAGTGTATACTTGCATGTGTATGCTTGTATCTGTATGATTCTATGTGTATGATTGTATGACAATGTGGGCATGATGTCATGATGACGAACACAAGATCATATACAGTTAGTAACTGCGTGTCATCCGACATGATTGCGTTTGTATCAATTCATGTGGGCTGAGATACTTGGTAAAGTTCCGGAAGGTTCCAATGCAGATACCTTGTTAGGTTCTGGAGGGTTCCGCTGCGGTTGTGGAGGGTTCCGGTGTAGATACCTGGTCAGCTTCTGGAAGTTTCCTGTGCAGATACCTGTTGAGGTTCCTGGCCCTGCTTCCTTTACCATTGTGCAGCACCATTGCATGCTTGTATGTGTATGATTGTATTTGTATGATTGTGTGTGTGTGTATGATTGTATGACAATGTGCGCATTATGTCATCGTGAAAATCATATGAATAGTAGAATTAGTAACACGGGCATAATTGCTTATATAAAGGTGGTGATAAGATAGACTCCGTAATTGCTTCATTCCCAACGGCCCTAGATGTAGTGTAAAAAAATGAAACAAAACAGAAACTCTCAAGCTGTTGGGGATAGCACCAGAGTTTATTTTTCACCTTCTGGATTGACTCGTTGAGAGTGAAACTTAACGGCTGTGCACATCATTTGCTTCTTTCAGGTTGGATATGAAGGAAGACTTTCAGTTGTATCCGAGTCGCAAGTGCATCAAGACGGTCTTCAGAGATATCTTGTACAGGCCGGTCCAAGTTCGTAAAAAACGAGAAGGTATATAGATAATTCAGAGGAAAAACGTCGCTGGAACATCTTTAGCTTTGGGTCTTCATTTTTACGTTTTTTTACACATTCCATCCCTGTGCATTCCGCCCTCACACCGCCACTGCCATTCCCGTCTCAGTTCACTGCTGGCGAGCTCAGCCGAGCAGATGGAGTAGGTTTTGTCTTTTCTCAGCGCTTACCCTGTGCCGAACTTAGCGACTCATTTCCTTGGATTCGCGAATGCAGCTCATGTACAGCATGGAGATGACAGAGTTGCCCTGTGACATCCTGTTATTTTATTCTGAGCAGCTCAGGTGCCAAAAATATTCAAAGGATAGTCTCGATTTTTGCTTGGTTCTCAGAAGTTCCCAGAATAGTTTGCGAAGAAGTTCCTTTTCCTCCATGACCTGGTTGGATCGCTTTCTTACGGATGTCACAGGTCAATCAGCGTGGCCAAATTTGCATGCGCGCCTTTGCAGAGATTGAGAGGCTATGTGAAAGACACTCAACTCTGTTTTTGTGCATTTGATGTTGCATCTGAAGAGTCTGCAAGAATTTACAACAGTTAGTCTGGATATGTCTGGATGGTTTGACTTTGGCAGGGCAGAAGCCTATGTAAAGCCTCTGGAACTTGGTGATTGTGTCGAGATGGCCCCCGACTCAGTCATGGAACCTTCATGCTTCGCTCTTGCTTCGCCCATGCTTCGTTCTCCCTTGATTCATCAACAGCATGTGAAATGTCAGGCGGTGGACCTCAGCCAGCAGGTGTGCCTGTGGATTTTGGAAATGTGGACTTGTATAGACTTGTTTAATATTGTCGAATGGTCAGTGGTATTCTTGGGGCTCGACTCACTAGACTCCGCTGATTGTTGCGAAATCGAAGATGGCTGTGATGGTCTTGGAGCCACAGGTTTGTACCTTCAATGTTTGGCCGGCTTGGTCTGTGGCCAGCTGGCCAGTGATGGCAGGGAGCGCGGGATCTGCAAATTCACGGCCAAGTTAGGAGGATGAACAGTAACGGCCTTTGTGCCTTATTCTTTTTCCTTTGACGCGTTGCTGGCTCTATATTTGAGACTTCAGTACATTCAAATTATGTTGTTGTTTGCCATGGTCAAAAGCTTCCTGGTCTTCCGGCCGAAGGAGACCTGTTTCGACCGCGGAGTTCAGCTTTGGAAGCCGCATGGCTAGCCTCAGTCAGGCCTAGCTTTGGAATGCAACATCAACGGATTTTGAAGAGATGAGTTCCAAGATGCCTCAGTTTCGAACTGCTTTCAAAGCTGCACATTTCAGCTGCCTTGATCTCCTCTTTATCCCGCAGCTCATCTACAGCTCCATAGTCATAGTCAAGAAATCTTGACAGGCAGTAGCACAGAAGCTTCATTTCCAAAAAGTCTCACAATGTAGGGGCTTGCAAACGGTGCAAGACATAAGGAATTTGCAAATCAACCATTGAGCAGCTTCACTTGATGAAGCTGTGTGGTCTTCCAAAGACACCTCTCGACAAGGCCGTTTGCACATGTTGCTGTGTATTGCAGCATCATTTTGCTTCTTCAATTTTTAGGTGCCTGCAGAATGACTACGCACTGGAGAGTCAACCAAGGCCTGCAAGTACAGTTTGGGTTGTTTCGCAAAATCTTACGAGATCAATACACGTATTGCCCACACACTTTCGCTGCTTTGGGCCAGGACGGCGTAGGACCATAGCGGTGCCCGTGCAGACGGAGGAGCACTGCAAAAAGTTGCTGACTCTGCCTGAAGTTTGAAGAGAACCCGAATGCCATGAATGATCCCCTCTCACTCAGCTTCCCAATCTTCTCATTTGGCAGGCAGCCACAAGAACGTTGGAAGCTCAGTTGTTTGGAGGCATTCGGAGGTCAGGTATTTCTGAGCTTGATCATTTCCCAGTATCTGTGAGGTTGCCAGGTCGAGCTCGATCATTTCGCAGGTCAGCCGGTCAGCTTGCCCTTTCGACCTTGTTTTGCTATGGAGCTGAGTGGTATGTACGTAGCGTTGTTCTTTCTCAGAACCTTGGGCATATTCACCCCGCTTCGCGTGGGGTGGCCGCCCACACCGCAGGTTTATTTCGGTCCGTGAGAGGGGCTAAGGGTTGTTTTCCCCCGTGGGGGCTCCCCAAGCTAAGAATTTTCACTTTCCCCCCCCGTGGGGGCTCCCCAAGCTAGGGAATTTTCACTTTTCCCCCCGTGGGGGCTCCCCAAGCTAAGAATTTTCACTTTCCCCCCCCGTGGGGGCTCCCCAAGCTAGGGAATTTTCACTTTCCCCCCCCGTGGGGGCTCCCCAAGCTAGGGAATTTTCACTTTTCCCCCCCGTGGGGGCTCCCCAAGCTAGGGAATTTTCACTTTCCCCCCCGTGGGGGCTCCCCAAGCTAGGGAATTTTCACTTTCCCCCCCGTGGGGGCTCCCCAAGCTAGGGAATTTTCACTTTTCCCCCCCGTGGGGGCTTCCCAAGCTAGGGAATTTTCACTTTTCCCCGCCGTTTCCCAAGCTATGGAATTTTCACTTTTCCCTCCCTTGGAGGCTCTCCAAGCTGCGGAATTTCAAATAGCTAGACAACGACGCCTAGATAGTCCCCCAAATCCCGTGTTCTTTGAATGTGTTTCCATGTTTTTGCAATGGTTTCCTTCAAAGCACGGTACTTTACACTTTTGTCGCCATAAAACCGGTCGAAAACATCATGTTCGACAATGCTTCCAATTCCCTTATCTCCCCAACCGTTGAAAATACCGCTATTTACAGTGTTTTCTTCAATTTTTCCATGTTCCAATGCCGGTAGCCAACTCCAACATATATATATATATATAAGAAATCCTTCCAAAACATTGTTTTTGACAGTGTTTTTCCAATGTTTCCAGTCAAACAGACGGTAATTTACACGTTTTTTGCCATAAAGGCAGTAAATCCTTCCAAAACATTGCTTTTGACAGTGTTTTTGTAATGTTTCCAGTCAAGCATACGGTAATTTACACGTTTTTTGCTATAACGTCAGTCCAAAACACTTGTTTTTGCAGTGTTTTCAATGCTCTGGCATCCAAAAACCCTGCAAAATCTTGCTATGTACAATGTTTTTTTCATTTTTGGCCGTTTTTCCATTGCCGGAAAGCTACCAAAATGACCCAAAATTCCATTTCAATACCCTCTTGCGCTCAGACACCCAAAAATCCTCGAAAAATGTCGAAAACACCACCGTATTCTGGTCTCGGTGCGAAACCGTTTTTGGCCCCCCCCCAGCTAAAGCTGATATAGCGACTGCTATATTAACAAATGTCATTGAGCATTTAGTGTTGCTGTTTTGCCCCCCAATAAGCACGCCTTCACCGCCAAAGCGGTGTGGGCGGATTTCTATCCTTTATCGCAGAAGTGGTGTCAGGTCAAAGTCAACCTCTTCTGGACAGGAGCATGAACAAGCCAAAGGTACAGTTTGGTTCGCTGTTCGTGATTTTTGTGGTGCCTTTCTCATTCTTGACACATTCCCCCGTCACATGGGCACCAAGATCGCTTGGAGCTCCCTACCACAGCTTCTGCCTCAGAAAGTGCAGAGGACTGAATGGATTCAGTGGATTATGCAAACTGCAAACTAAGGCTTATGCTCTTTTCATGTTTGTTTATGTTTGTTTCACATTCTTGCTATGGCGCGGCCAATTTTAAAAACAACTCGAACCGTTGCATTGAAGGACGCAAAACTGAACGAGATCCTGGAGGAATTCGAACGTGAACTTTGGAGCTTTGACCTTGGCTCATCTTTCTAGACTTGACTTATTCACTGCAAGTTGACCAGCGTTGACTATAAGTGAGTGTAAACATCTGCAAACCTCATTGTCAAAGCTTACATGTCATTTTCGTCGATATCTGCAACATTTTACCCAAGTGAGCAAATGTGACCTGAGGTCACTCAAGAAGGCTTACTCGTTTGCAGACGCCGCCGAAATGGGTGCGACCCTGAGGAGACTTCATGGTGTAACTGGCCAGCCTCAAGCAAGAAGGCCTAGTGACTTAGTCGACTTAGTCGACTCCGTCTTGGAATCCATGAGACATATGAGACGGACCTTCAGACCATAGCTCTTCTTGACTTGGACCAAAGGAGATTTGCGATTTGCAGCTGCCAGGGCTCAAACACTGATTTGCTAGTGTTGCCCAGGGGCTGTGTGTTTGGTTCAGAGTCTGTGGCACTCTGTGATATACTCAGGTCGACCATTCTAGTGCTTTGTTTCTCGTGCCTCAGTCTCTTCTAGGCCAAGCCCAGGTTTCACCTTGTTGTAGCCATGGGTTGCGGTGCCTCAGCATCCAAGAAGGACTGAGAGATGGGCTCCATGTCCACGACATAAGCCACGACGTAAATATGGTGGATCTTGCCGTTGCAAACCTGGCATTGTGCTATTGATGTTGCTGTTAGATCTGTTTGTCGCTGCCAGCATTTTGCCTGGTCTTGAACCTTGCAGGACGGAAGTGGGGGTGGGAAGAAGAGTACGACAGGTGCACACAAGCCTGTTTGAATTCTGCTCTTGTTCCAACTGTGTACACTTTCTTTACTGTGAGACAGCAACCTTGAAAGTGGCGGGACCGATTTTTAGCCTTTTTTACATGGCTAGGAAAGGCTGCATGAAAGTGGCTTTTACCTGTATCAATAATTTCTCGATTCAAATCGAAGCTTTAAGAAGGGAGCAAACAACTTAGTGGCAGGTTTTGCGTCTGCAAGCCTGATCGTTGACAATCAGGCTCACTTGTGTATGTTTCAGCAAGGGCAATGGTACTGTAGCTTTTTTTTTGATGACAAGTGGAACTGCATGCTTGGTGCTTTTGATAGACCTCCCACCAAGAATGTCACAAAAGCATTGTTTTGCCAACCAGAATCGAGTTGTCAGGGCAAGATCCAGCAGTTTTATGACATTGACAAGAAGAAGATCGGGGAGGGCTCCTACGGCTCAGTATGCAAAGCACGGAACAAGGCGGGATTCAAAGAAATGCGAAGCAAGAATGGAGTAGAACCGGTTTTGCGTTGTTTCAAGCTTGTCCAATTTCTTTGTGCATTGAGTCACCTCCTTCGAGCTTTGTAACATTGAGTAGTGAATTTCCTGAGGCCACAAAAGCCATGCGCGCCATCAAAACAATCAACAAGGCGGCCTTGAAGAGTGTGGATCTTAACTTGAAACAACCTGGTGACCTTCATGTGACAGACATGAAGGATAGGGCTTTCGCTTGTGACAGATATGGCCATTGGGCCATGCTAAGGTCCTGAAGCCTTCAAGAAGGACCTGTTTTGTTGCACACATGGCCATTTCTCGTTTGTGCAGATACTGTCCCTCAATAGTTGCTGCAATGGGCCAGAGTTTGACCTTGTGAACTGTTTAGGAAATTCAGATCATGAAAATCCTGGACCATCCGAACATTTGCAAGCTCTATGAGTCTTTCCAAGATCACCGCGACTTGCTATGAGTTAGTAGATTTATCTTGGATCAGTTGTGGAACTTGTATAGGGCTGGTAATAGATGGCATATGAATCATATGAATCATATGAATCATATGATGGCATTAGGAAGTTGGAGAACACATTTATTGTATTTTCCAATGGAGAAATTTCTTCATCCCCAAGGCTACATCTATTTGGTCCTGGAGCTTTGCACCGGTGGTGAGTTGTTTGACCGGATCATTGAGTACGGTCACCTAACCGAGAAGCAGGCCGCTGGTGCTGGGTCCACTGGGTCCACTGGGTCCACTGGGTTGGAAACCTGACAAGACTTTCATTCACATCATGGAACCTTTAAACTGGCTTGCTAGACTTGTATTTTACTGCAGACTTTCTCCTTTCCTTATTCTAGCCTTGCAGGCAGCCTTGCTGATGCAGCAACTTGGCCGAATTTAATCTGAAGTCTTGACAAGACAAACACGCACACACACACACAGTGGCATAGTATATGTAAATTACGGGGTATAGCTTGCCAATTGCATTGGAACGTGTTTGGAGATTTTGGTGATTCCTCTTGTATCCTGTTCCGCTGAGGAACATGTTTAGGGCCATCTACTACATGCACAAGTCCCTTGGTTGCTCTTTGTCCGGGCTGAGGTGGTCTTTCGAAAGCTTTTGTGTTTTTTTCAGCAGGACTGCTGCCATTTCAATCAGAATGAACTTTGGCGTCAAATTTGTTTATTTGTTGCATTTTGCAGAATCTGAACTCCGGGTCTGAGGTGTCATTACACTCACCGTGACCTGAAGCCTGAAAACTTCATTTTCACTACGAAGGAGGGGTTGCACGAAGCATCACATTTGCCACAATTGTGAACCTCGAGTTGCTATCCTATCACTGTGTCCCTGTTGAAACATAGTCATGGCTTTCTGGGGGACACAGGAAGCCATCGAGAAGAGCGTTCTGAAGCTGATTGATTTTGGCCTGGCAAGAGAGTTTCAGCCAGAGCAGGCTGGAAATCGGAAAAGTTTCAAGCTTTCACTAAGACTTCAGGGCTTGATACTGCTTTATGCTATGTTGTTTGCCAGGTCTTGACCACGAAAGCAGGAACTCCATACTATGTGGCTCCGCAGGTGAGACTGACATTCATTATCATCATAAATCTAGACATCAGATATATCAGATATCATTCAATCATGTGTGGATGAACATAAAGTCCAAATTTGAATAATCTGAGTCATCAAGTGACGTGGATGCAAATTGTTTGTGGACTGTGCAAGGTCCTGGCTGGAAAGTATGACCACATGGCTGACATGTGGAGCCTGGGTGTCATCATGCACCTTGACTGCCTTGACTCTTGGGATCTATTGAAATCATTTGATTCTGCAGTCTTGTCATGTCTTGCCACTCTATGCGATGTTTTGACCCTTGGAAGGTATGTGATGCTCTGTGGCTACCCACCATTCTATGGCGAGTCCGACCAGGAAGTCCTCGATGAGGTGAGCAATTGCAAGCACACCTTTGAACAATCAACACGGTCGTCACGACGAAACGGGCTGAAACCAGCAAAAGCACTCAAAGTTTGGTTGAAACCCCGGTTCTGTGCATCTTGTTCTGCAGGTTCGGCAAGGAAAAGTGAAGTTTCAGGCAGCGGATTGGCCCCTTTGCTGAAATGCGGAGCATGTTTATGCCAGTGGGGGGAAAACCGCGCCAGCAGTCGTGCACGTTTTTGAAAACAAGCACATGCATATGCTCCGTCACATCTTGGGTTGGGGGCTGTTAACGTTCATGTTAACTTGCCGCACATGCATATGCTCCGTCACGTCTTGGGTTGGGGGGTGTTAACGTTCATGTTAACTTGCCGCACATGCATATGCTCCGTCACGTCTTGGGTTGGGGGGTGTTAACGTTCATGTTAACTTGCCGCACATGCATATGCTCTCACGTCTTGGGTTGGGGGGTGTTAACGTTCATGTTAACTTGCCGCACATGCATATGCTCTCACGTCTTGGGTTGGGGAGGTGTTAACGTTCATGTTAACTTGCCGCACATGCATATGCTCCGTCACGTCTTGGGTTGGGGGGTGTTAACGTTCATGTTAACTTGCCGCACATGCATATGCTCCGTCACGTCTTGGGTTGGGGGGTGTTAACGTTCATGTTAACTTGCCGCACATGCATATGCTCCGTCACGTCTTGGGTTGGGGGGGTGTTAACGTTCATGTTAACTTGCCGCACATGCATATGCTCCGTCACGTCTTGGGTTGGGGGGTGTTAACGTTCATGTTAACTTGCCGCACATGCATATGCTCCGTCACGTCTTGGGTTGGGGGGGTGTTAACGTTCATGTTAACTTGCCGCACATGCATATGCTCCGTCACGTCTTGGGTTGGGGGGTGTTAACGTTCATGTTAACTTGCCGCACATGCATATGCTCTCACGTCTTGGGTTGGGGGGTGTTAACGTTCATGTTAACTTGCCGCACATGCATATGCTCCGTCACGTCTTGGGTTGGGGAGGTGTTAACGTTCATGTTAACTTGCCGCACATGCATATGCTCCGTCACGTCTTGGGTTGGGGGGGTGTTAACGTTCATGTTAACTTGCCGCACATGCATATGCTCGCGTCACGTCTTGGGTTGGGGGGTGTTAACGTTCATGTTAACTTGCCGCACATGCATATGCTCCGTCACATCTTGGGGTTGGGGGGTGTTAACGTTCATGTTAACTTGCCGCACATGCATATCTCGTCAGTCCTTGGTTGGGGGGGTGTTAACGTTCATGTTAACTTGCGCACATGCACATGCTACATCACGTCTTGGGTTGGGGGGGTGTTAAAACGTTCATGTTAACTTGCCGCACATGCATATGCTCCGTCACGTCTTGGGTTGGGGGGGTGTTAACGTTCATGTTAACTTGCCGCACATGCATATGCTCCGTCACGTCTTGGGTTGGGGGTGTTAACGTTCATGTTAACTTGCCGCACATGCATATGCTCCGTCACGTCTTGGGTTCGGGGGGGGTTAACGTTCATGTTAACTTGCCGCACATGCATATGCTCCGTCACGTCTTGGGTTGGGAGGGTGTTAACGTTCATGTTAACTTGCCGCACATGCATATGCTCCGTCACATCTTGGGTTGGGGGGGTGTTAACGTTCATGTTAACTTGCCGCACATGCATATGCTCCGTCACGTCTTGGGTTGGGGGGGTGTTAACGTTCATGTTAACTTGCCGCACATGCATATGCTCCGTCACGTCTTGGGTTGGGGGGTGTTAACGTTCATGTTAACTTGCCGCACATGCATATGCTCCGTCACGTCTTGGGTTGGGAGGGTGTTAACGTTCATGTTAACTTGCCGCACATGCATATGCTCCGTCACGTCTTGGGTTGGGGGGGTGTTAACGTTCATGTTAACTTGCCGCACATGCATATGCTCTCACGTCTTGGGTTGGGGAGGTGTTAACGTTCATGTTAACTTGCCGCACATGCATATGCTCCGTCACGTCTTGGGTTGGGGGGGTGTTAACGTTCATGTTAACTTGCCGCACATGCATATGCTCCGTCACGTCTTGGGTTGGGGGGTGTTACGTTCATGTTAACTTGCCGCACATGCATATGCTCCGTCACGCTTGGGTTGGAGGGTGTTAACGTTCATGTTACTTGGCCGCACATGCATATGCTCCGTCACGTCTGGGTTGGGGGGGTGTTAACGTTCATGTTAACTTGCCGCACATGCATATGCTCTCATGTCTTGGGTTGGGGAGGTGTTAACGTTCATGTTAACTTGCCGCACATGCATATGCTCCGTCACGTCTTGGGTTGGGGGGGTGTTAACGTTCATGTTAACTTGCCGCACATGCATATGCTCCGTCACGTCTTGGGTTGGGGGGTGTTAACGTTCATGTTAACTTGCCGCACATGCATATGCTCCGTCACGTCTTGGGTTGGGGGGTGTTAACGTTCATGTTAACTTGCCGCACATGCATATGCTCCGTCACGTCTTGGGTTGGGAGGGTATTAACGTTCATGTTAACTTGCCGCACATGCATATGCTCCATCCCGTCTTGGGCTGGGGGGGTATTAACGTTCATGTTAACTTGCCGCACATGCATATGCTCCGTCACGTCTTGGGTTAGGCGGGTGTTAACGTTCATGTTAACTTGCCGCACATGCATATGCTCCGTCACGTCTTGGGTTTGGGGTGGTGTTAACGTTCATGTTAACTTGCAGCACATGCATATGCATATGCTCTCACTTCTTGGGTTGGGGGGGTGTTAACGTTCATGTTGACTTGCCGCACATGCATATGCTCTGTCACGTCTTGTGTTGGGGGGGTGTTAACGTTCATGTTAACTTGCCGCAAATGCAAATGCTCCGTCACCTCTTGGGTTAGGCGGGTGTTAACGTTCATGTTAACTTGCCGCACATGCATATGCTCCGTCACGTCTTGGGTTTGGGGGGGTGTTAACGTTCATGTTAACTTGCAGCACATGCATATGCATATGCTCTCACTTCTTGGGTTGGGGGGGTGTTAACGTTCATGTTGACTTGTCGCACATGCTACGTCACGTTTTGGGTGGGGGGGGTGGGTGTATTAGCGTTCATGTTAACTTGCCGCACATGCACATGCTTTGTCACATCTGGGTTGGAGGTGACTGGTTGCTCTTTGAAGAAGCGCATGGCCATGTGAAAGGAGGAAAACATCGCGCGAGTTTTCAATATCAAATTCCCCGTAAATTGCAGGAGATCATCAAAAATGCACTTCAAATTCCTGGGGAATTTTAAGCACTTTTCGTGGAATGGATCGATAGTTTCGCTATGGCGAAAACGACATTTTTTTTTTCAAAACGCTCACAACCGCTGGCGCGGTTTTCCCCCCGACGGAACGTTTATGTATTTTTGTGATTGCACATGTTCCATCCATGTTTGATCCATGTTTGTATTGAATTCTTGAATTTGACTCAATCTCATACCCGTTGTTTTTGAAACTTGTTTTTTTCCAAAAACCCACCGAATAGATGCCTGGCTGGACCAATTGGTTGGACCAAGGAAGAACGTATCCGAAGATGCGAAAGCACTGTCTCCTGGCAAAGCATCAAGCGTCTTGTGAGCTCATGACATTTCACAATCCTTTGGCGCTTAGGCATAGGTGATACTGTTCTAGCAAGTGAGTACTTCCTCAATGCCCGAGCCAAGGATCAAGAATTTGCTGCAGATGAACCCAAAGGAACGATACACTGCTGAACAAGCGTTGAATGATGCCACTTGACCAAGATCTGTGAACCTTGAGCAGCTTTACCGTAGTTTACCAAAGTTTTCTCTCCATTCTGCTGCAAGAGCAATGTGCCTATTCGTTGCTTTGAATCTATCCATAATCCATGGAAAATCGAGGTTTGGATCAAGGAGAAGGCTCCGAAGGCCAAGGATGTGAATCTTCAGGCTGGGGACGGATGTATTTCTCTGAGAGAGTCCAAGGTGCAAGGTGCAGGTGCAAGATGGTAGCATCTAAAGAGGGGCTGGTGTCAGATTTCTAGTGGTTCAGGACGGCTTCGTTGACAAGTTACGCGGATTCCTTTCGCAAAACAAGTTGAAGACGCTTGGTCAACACAGACATGGAAATTTCATGGTAGAAGGATGTCCTTCCCGAAAGGACATAGTTGAAGGCTTATATCGAGCCCCAAACATAAGTCGGGCTTGCAAAGTTGTGACCGGCTCATGATGGGTAGACAGGAGCGGTTGGATTCCAACATGTTCTAAAATCACTGAAACATAAAAACCATGCGTGGCGTTTATGCACGTTTTGCTAAGGAAAGCTGCGTTGCAAGTGATTGCGAGCAGTCTTGATGACAAGCAAATCCAGAACCTTGGCAGCACAGTTCATGTGCACCTTTGAGGTGTTGAAGTGATCCAGAGGACTTTGTTCCACACCACTCTTGTCACCTAAGGGCTTTGAGAGAGACCTTCCAAGCCCTAGATGAGAAACTTGTCTGCATGTCCAAGCATTTTCCAAGCATTTCAATCTTCTTGGTGCGTTTCTCTCATGAACGTACTTCAGATCCAGCTTCCAAAGCTGTGCCCATCGTGGCTGGCTTGCAGGAACGGAGATGGCCTACTCACAGCAGCTGAGTTGAAAGCAGGCCAGCTGAAGACGGTAGCTCCTTCAATTAAGATGGAAACAACCTGGCCAAAACTGGAAAAAACAGCACTTTGAATTTTTCTACACGTATTCCTGTGATGCATTTCTTCAGGTCTCGAGAAGGGTGGCCTCAAAGACAACATCCCTGGTGACCTGCAGGTCATGTTGATTCATGTTCACATGCAGGGCAATTCGTGTTCGAATGCTGCGGTTTGTTGTGACCCTTCGCGACAGTTGACATGGGCTTGTAAAGCTTTGGGACTGGAAGTGCTTCGTGTGATCTGAACCAGGAGATTATGAAAAGTATTGATGCAGATGGCAGCGGTGTGATCGATTACACTGAGTTTCTTGTAACTTGGCAAAATTGAATAAAATTGAGACATCTATGGCAGCTATGGCAGCTATGGGCACCTATGGGCGAAGAGATTGGAAATCTCGATGCAGCCCTGTCCTTCTCGATCATACAAGCACTGCATTGAGGCAGCAACCTTGGACAGGAAGCACTTTATTGAGGAGTTTCAGCGGCTTTCCGTGTGTACATAGCCAGCTTGACAGAAATTCGAAGGCATTTCCAAGGCCTACGCAGTTAAGAACAGAACCATTGAACAATCTTGAAATATATTGAACAATTATATTGAACAATATTGAAGATATTCTTTATCCTCAAGTCCTTTTGACAATTCCTCGCAGGAAGATGCCTGTTGGCAAGCTTTCCGAGTTTTCGATCGCGATGGGAATGGGACCATCAGCCAGAAGGAGTTGGATCCTCAGTGTCCCATGGGTTGGATGTTGATCCCATGGTGGTGCCGCACCAGCCGCACAATGGCCCAATATGGCCCAGGCTCGCGGAAGTATTGGCCAGTGATGATGTGGCAGGCAAGTTTCACAAGGAGATTGCTGGGATGGGTTTCAGACGGGTGAGGGATGTGTGATGATTTGTAGATATTTGTGCTGGCAGCACACTGTCATGATGTGTACTATGCTGCTTGCCAGCAGGATCTGGCCGTCACTTGACTGAACAATCTTGAGATTGGTGTTCACTGCCAAAATCCAAACTATAAAAGGCACATTCATGGAGACCAGTTTGCCTTTTGGCAATCCAACAAAGAGAATTCCACAGAATTCCTACAAGTCCTTGAGCCAACTGGAATGTGAGAAAGGAGAGGCCGTGCTTGCAGCTTGCTGACGCCAACTCTGAGCCTGCTAAGGATTTGATGAAAATGGTGGACACCAATGGCGATGGCGAGATCGACTTCCAAGAGTTTATGCAAATGATGAGGACTTGGGAAATGACGGAAATGACGAGAGTTGACAGATGTTATGAGTGCAATCGAAGCCAAGCCAGACATTCTATTCATCGTGTCGCAAATTCGCACTGCGTCAAATATGTTTCTTGAGCTTCAACGCAGGTGGTGAAAGCCCTGAAACCTATTCCAATGTTTGCAGGAGCTGAGAGCCAAGCAGCCGTTGTTTTGAAGGGCTTTTCTTAGAAAATCCTTCTGAGCTGCACATGTCGCCACTCTTGCCAACTGTCAGAGTGGCGCTTTTCATGTTTCTGTTAAGTTAACTTTGCCGCCTTGTCTGCGCATCGTGCTTGGATTCTGCTTGGTGCCAGTGTTGCCAGTACTGCCATACTCAGTGATAAATGATGACAAATGATGATAAATGGCTAATGGGCCTAGATGGATACTCTTTCGGTAAGAGACCGAGATATTCAAGGAAATCATTGGAGCAGTCTTTGCACGAAGCCAAGGCGTAGAGAGAGCTGCAAAGACTCGCAGAATGGGCCTAGCCCTTTTCAGCCCTTTGCAGACCTTGTGTGCAGGGCGTGTCAAGCACATTGAATCCACCATTGGACTCGCCAATATATTTTTGCTGAAAGATATTGTCAACATATATACATATATAAAACTATTATATATATTAAGGGGCTACGCCCCCTGCCGCCGACCCCTGGGAGAGAGTGAGTTTGGAACCCTTCCTGCAGTGAACATCTTCCACAGTGATGGCGGCCGAAGCTCAGTCAAAGTCGCTGGTCTGTTTTCATGTGTTCCATGTGCGCGGAACGCAAGCCACGAACAGAGTTTACAGCTTGGCAACAAGGTCGTGAATATACTCAAGACGGCACACAAGTATGCAACGCATGCACAGCCTTTGCCTTCGTTTGCCGTTTTGCTCATCGCACGAATCAACGCCTGGCCCGCTTGCGCCAACGCGAAACCCGCCACCGGCACGCAGCAATCCTAGAGGACATTCGCAAGGAAATTCAGGAAATACACGAAGCAAGACAAACTTCCACGCGAGCAGAAGGTCCCAAAACGGACACTGCCCACTCATCGAACCAGCAGCTTGCTGTCGGGCCTGACACAGCACCGCCACGACTGCACATATACATCTGCCCGTACTGTGCTAAGTCTGTGCAAAGCCCTGTGGCAACAGGGCGCGTCGATCACCGCCGCGGTAATGGCTGCGGCAAACAATTTCGCGTTGCCAATGGCCTGCTCGCAGGTCGCACATATTCGCATGCATGTCCAACATGCGGCACGGTGGTGCACTCAACACTGGCTTCCGGCCGAATTCGGGTAACGCATCGCAATCCCAGCGGCCGGCAGTGTCGCACCAACCAGTGGCGCGTGCATACCTGATGACGTTTCCAGCTTAAGGTTGCCACACCGCACGGCAATGCCCCACAGTGCTTTCTGAACCTACAAGAAAAGTAGCCGTCTTCCAGCTTTCCAAGCTCAGAAACGGCGCCTCCGCCACGCCCAAACAGCAGGGCCCTGAAGGACGGACCGAGCCTCCGGGCAACGGCTCCCACTGCCTAACGTTGCTTTCTGAACCTACAAGAAAACTAGCTCTCTTCCAGCCGTCAAGGCTCACAAACGGCGCCCTCGCCACAGCAAAACAGCAGGGCCCTGAAGGACGGACCGAGCCTCCGGGCAACGGCTCCCAAACTAGCTCTCTTCCAGCCGTCAAGGCTCACAAACGGCGCCTCCGCCACGCCCAAACAGCAGGGCCCTGAAGGACGGACCGAGCCTCCGGGCAACGGCTCCCACTGCCTAACGTTGCTTTCTGAACCTACAAGAAAACTAGCTCTCTTCCAGCCGTCAAGGCTCACAAACGGCGCCCTCGCCACAGCAAAACAGCAGGGCCCTGAAGGACGGACCGAGCCTCCGGGCAACGGCTCCCAAACTAGCTCTCTTCCAGCCGTCAAGGCTCACAAACGGCGCCTCCGCCACGCCCAAACAGCAGGGCCCTGAAGGACGGACCGAGCCTCCGGGCAACGGCTCCCACTGCCTAACGTTGCTTTCCGAACCTACAAGAAAACTAGCTCTCTTCCAGCCGTCAAGGCTCACAAACGGCGCCCTCGCCACAGCAAAACAGCAGGGCCCTGAAGGACGGACCGAGCCTCCGGGCAACGGCTCCCAAACTAGCTCTCTTCCAGCCGTCAAGGCTCACAAACGGCGCCTCCGCCACGCCCAAACAGCAGGGCCCTGAAGGACGGACCGAGCCTCCGGGCAACGGCTCCCACTGCCTAACGTTGCTTTCTGAACCTACAAGAAAACTAGCTCTCTTCCAGCCGTCAAGGCTCACAAACGGCGCCCTCGCCACAGCAAAACAGCAGGGCCCTGAAGGACGGACCGAGCCTCCGGGCAACGGCTCCCAAACTAGCTCTCTTCCAGCCGTCAAGGCTCACAAACGGCGCCTCCGCCACAGCAAAACAGCAGGGCCCTGAAGGACGGACCGAGCCTCCGGGCAACGGCTCCCACTGCCTAACGTTGCTTTCTGAACCTACAAGAAAACTAGCTCTCTTCCAGCCGTCAAGGCTCACAAACGGCGCCCTCGCCACAGCAAAACAGCAGGGCCCTGAAGGACGGACCGAGCCTCCGGGCAACGGCTCCCAAACTAGCTCTCTTCCAGCCGTCAAGGCTCACAAACGGCGCCTCCGCCACGCCCAAACAGCAGGGCCCTGAAGGACGGACCGAGCCTCCGGGCAACGGCTCCCACTGCCTAACGTTGCTTTCTGAACCTACAAGAAAACTAGCTCTCTTCCAGCCGTCAAGGCTCACAAACGGCGCCCTCGCCACAGCAAAACAGCAGGGCCCTGAAGGACGGACCGAGCCTCCGGGCAACGGCTCCCAAACTAGCTCTCTTCCAGCCGTCAAGGCTCCCAAACGGCGCCTCCGCCACGCCCAAACAGCAGGGCCCTGAAGGACGGACCGAGCCTCCGGGCAACCGCTCCCACTGCCTAACGTTGCTTTCTGAACCTACAAGAAAACTAGCTCTCTTCCAGCCGTCAAGGCTCACAAACGGCGCCCTCGCCACAGCAAAACAGCAGGGCCCTGAAGGACGGACCGAGCCTCCGGGCAACGGCTCCCACACTAGCTCTCTTCCAGCCGTCAAGGCTCACAAACGGCGCCTCCGCCACGCCCAAACAGCAGGGCCCTGAAGGACGGACCGAGCCTCCGGGCAACGGCTCCCACTGCCTAACGTTGCTTTCTGAACCTACAAGAAAACTAGCTCTCTTCCAGCCGTCAAGGCTCACAAACGGCGCCCTCGCCACAGCAAAACAGCAGGGCCCTGAAGGACGGACCGAGCCTCCGGGCAACGGCTCCCAAACTAGCTCTCTTCCAGCCGTCAAGGGTCACAAACGGCGCCCTCGCCACAGCAAAACAGCAGGGCCCTGAAGGACGGACCGAGCCTCCGGGCAACGGCTCCCAAACTAGCTCTCTTCCAGCCGTCAAGGCTCACAAACGGAGCCTCCGCCACGCCCAAACAGCAGGGCCCTGAAGGACGGACCGAGCCTCCGGGCAACCGCTCCCACTGCCTAACGTTGCTTTCTGAACCTACAAGAAAACAAGCTCTCTTCCAGCCGTCAAACCTTCAAAAACGCTCTTCCAGCCGTCAAGGCTCACAAACGGCGCCTCTGCCACGCCCAAACAGCAGGGCCCTGAAGGACGGACCGAGCCTCCGGGCAACCGCTCCCACTGCCTAACGTTGCTTTCTGAACCTACAAGAAAACTAGCTCTCTTCCAGCCGTCAAGGCTCAAAAACGGCGCCCTCGCCACAGCAAAACAGCAGGGCCCTGAAGGACGGACCGAGCCTCCGGGCAACGGCTCCCAAACTAGCTCTCTTCCAGCCGTCAAGGCACACAAACGGCGCCTCCGCCACGCCCAAACAGCAGGGACCTGAAGGACGGACCGAGCCTCCGGGCAACCGCTCCCACTGCCTAACGTTGCTTTCTGACCCTACAAGAAAACTAGCTCTCTTCCAGCCGTCAAGGCTCACAAACGGCGCCCTCGCCACAGCAAAACAGCAGGGCCCTGAAGGACGGACCGAGCCTCCGGGCAACGGCTCCCAAACTAGCTCTCTTCCAGCCGTCAAGGCTCACAAACGGCGCCTCCGCCACGCCCAAACAGCAGGGTCCTGAAGGACGGACCGAGCCTCCGGGCAACGGCTCCCACTGCCTAACGTTGCTTCCTGAACCTACAAGAAAACTAGCTCTCTTCCAGCCGTCAAGGCTCACAAACGGCGCCCTCGCCACAGCAAAACAGCAGGGCCCTGAAGGACGGACCGAGCCTCCGGGCAACGGCCCAACTAGCTCTCTTCCGCCTCAAGGGCTCACAACTGCGCCCTCCGCCAGCCCAAACAGCAGGGCCCCTGAAGGAACGGACCGAGCCCCGGGCAACCCTCCCACTGCTAACTTTGTTTCCTGACCTACACCCGAAGTAAAACTACTCTCTTCCGCCGTCAAGTCTCAAAAACGGCGCCCTCCGCCACAGCAAAACAGCAGGTCCCTGAATGACGGACCGAGCTTCTCTGGCAACGGCTCCCACACTAGCTCACCTTCCATCCATCCTTCCATTACATCACACACGTCTCCTCCGTCCCACTCCCAAACATCATTTCACCTTCCTTACTTACTCATCTCCTTTCCCCTTCGGCTCCCACTTCCTAACGTTGCTTTCTGAACCTACAAGAAAACTAGCTCTCTTCCAGCCGTCAAGACTCACAAACGGCGCCCTCGCCACAGCAAAACAGCAGGGCCCTGAAGGACGGACCGAGCCTCCGGGCAACGGCTCCCAAACTAGCTCTCTTCCAGCCGTCAAGGCACACAAACGGCGCCTCGCCCAAACAGCAGGGCCCTGAAGGACGGACCGAGCCTCCGGGCAACGGCTCCCACTGCCTAACGTTGCTTTCTGAACCTACAAGAAAACTAGCTCTCTTCCAACCGTCAAGGCTCACAAACGGCGCCCTCGCCACAGCAAAACAGCAGGGCCCTGAAGGACGGACCGAGCCTCCGGGCAACGGCTCCCAAACTAGCTCTCTTCCAGCCGTCAAGGCTCACAAACGGCGCCTCCGCCACGCCCAAACAGCAGGGCCCTGAAGGACGGACCCCGAGCCTCCGGGCAACCGCTCCCACTGCCTAACGTTGCTTTCTGAACCTACAAGAAAACAAGCTCTCTTCCAGCCGTCAAACCTTCAAAAACGCGCCCTTTCCGGCCGTCACAAACATTCAAAAACGGCCGTGAGTGCCTAACGTTGCTTTCTGAACTGCCTAGAAACTAGCTTCAAACCTTGCTGTTTCCTGCCGTCAGCTCGAGTCCAAGGACCCTGTCGCGG